ATCTAGAAGACACCTCCTAGCGACAGCTTCGAGTTACCTAAAGGTCAGCCCTCGCGTTGCCCTCACTACACACCAGCTGTCTGGAAATTCCTCCCACTTGCAGGGATCAAGGTCATTAATTTTATACGGATAACTGACTGTGTGAATACCAGCTCATTTGAACTATGTATGCACTCTTTATTTGTTAACAGTGTTCCGGACGAACATTTGTTGTTCGCATAAATACAATCTGCATGCGTTAAGGGAACATCACGCTCATTTGACCATGATGCAAAAACCCACTTATGCGCACTGAACATAACGCTCTTATATTCATCACAATCATACATATACATTCTACATGGTCGGCGAATAACACGCACATGTGTTCACTCTAAACTGTTCAGTTAGTGGCGTCTTGACCGCGGCGTTCAGTTCTGGGATGGCCCAGCACGCGCTCGCTGCAGGCAGCCCCGCGCTACAGACCTGATGGAGTTGTCGGGCAGACCGAGCATGTCCATCTGTTAGACAAACGTTGAGGAAGTAAATCGACTATGTATTTTTTATTTTGATTTAATATTTTGATTTCAATACACACTGCTGAGAAATTTTTACTACGGAGAAGGTTATAAAATTAGAGTACGATTAAGTATAACAAAAGCACATACGTACTACACGTGCTAAACTATGAAAATTACAATTAATTTTTTCCATTGTATTACGGAACAAAGTGCGATGAACCCGCAGGGCCACATTCATATTAACTGTCACTTTTGTGGTAATTTCCCATGTGAAAGGCCATTGGGTGTCTAGCTGATGTTTTTTTTAAACCTTTACACTAAAATTTATGAGAGGTGATTGATTTTATTGATGTCTACAACGTGGTAAAGATAGTTATCCATAGTAGACATCGCGGGGGTGAGTCAAAACTCACCATATATGAAGCGTGGTAAAGATAGTTACTCTCGGTGGACAGCGCGGGGGTGAGTCAAAACTCACCATATCTGAAGCGTAGTAAAGATAGTTACTCTCGGTGGACACCGCGGGGCGCGTCAGAACTCAGCATTTCTCAAGCGAGGTACAGATATTTACTCTCGGTGGACATCGCGGGGGCTAGTCAAAATTAACCGTATCTGAAGCGTATATTAAGTTTTACTCATTGTGGTCATCGTAAGGTAAGTCAATACTCACCATATCTCAAGCGAGGTAAAGATATTTACTCTCCTTGGACATCGCGTGTGAGTGACAACTCACCGAACCAACGCTCCCCTCTCACAGCCACGCTCCGTCGCTGCATGGAGGTCATCTCCCCCTGCGCGCTCCTCCCTCCTCCCCTCAAGGCGAGTATCTTCGTGCAAAGGTCGTTGAGAACGCACGTGTCACCTGCGCGTAAATTGTAATGGAAGAAAAAGTATATATGCATGTATATAAGGACCGATTTCAGAGGTCTTAAGGCAAAAGATATTTTAGTTTATAACTGCAGTGAACATTTAATTTTTTCCAGACTAGAATGGTAGTAGAAGAAACGAATTCAAATTATCTGAAATTTGCTTAAAATTTGAATTAAAATTGAATTTCTATGGCGATATTGAGCGAAGCGATTCATGACTTGGAGCGTTAAATCATCGCAGTCTCAAAGGTGCAGCACTGAAACGCTCTGCCACTTCATTCATATTTATAACTCATATCACTTCTTTGTAGGCGCGCTCGACATATTCAGAAGACTATAAGCTGCCGTAACTGACTAAATTCTCTCAAGAGGGAACTATTAAAGTGTATTGAAGTCTATTGATTCAACGCGATGATCAGCATGAGGCGGTATAGGCTAATGGGGAGATTTTAGTGGAACAGACCTCCCGTTTAAAATGCTGCGTTTGACTACCCATAGAGATACCCTTCTAGGATACCGAAACAGATTACACCTCTAGAATACGCTTATGATAGACACCTCCAGGAAATCCCTTTAGAACACCCCCAGAAGGAGGGATTTACAAGAAAATTGATACACCCCTGAACACCATTGAAGAATACAACTGTATAGGACCCCCTCCAGAATATCCCTCTGTAATACTCCACCAAAATACTGCCAACTGCGCATAATATCAATTTGTTAAAGGTCTTCAGAATAAAATGAGGCAGGTAGAATGTAAAGAATGATTTTTCAACTAATATTTTTTACTTGCGTTCGGCTGATTCTACAGGAAGTTAACGCTGTTTTATAGTCAATTAACCTTTTTTTAGAATAAAATTTTCGCTAATAAACTATTAATTGGAAGACTATGTACAACATACCGATTTGAAAGCGACGTAGACGTATTAAATGTAAGCAAACTCGGGCGCTTATGCAGAAGCCTCGCAGTCCAGAGCCCAGCGCATGACCTGGTTCTCCGTTAGACTTGACATGGGAGAATATCATATATTCGTACATTGGAAATTACTTATAAATCAATATCTAACGATCTAACTCCCGCTTTATTGCAGGGCACCGAACAAGGTTTTCAAGTTTGTTTTGTTAATGACTCATTTCATGCATAACATAATATGCAGACACGCGAGGTCTTTGCGAGAAGGCCAGTTAACCGTTAAATTTTCGGTAGCCATTTAAGGAACATTTCGGCCACCTTCTGCGATCGCACGAATAGTTTATACGTTCTCATGAATACAGAAGTTATTAATTGCGGTTAAGAAAGTAAGGCATGTAACTAGGGCCCTACTGTGTGACCAGAGCTCGTGTGGGGTGGTCGTGTTTCTTGTTCGAAAGCGCTGTCAACTTTCATCGCCGTATAACCGTGTAAGAATTGCATTACAGATTATAAGTAAAATAACATAGAGAGTAATATCTATTTATTTTCAACGTTCATATATACATTTATATGCATCGAAATGAATATCTTCTAAGTTCTGAAATGTTTTTTTCAATTCAGCAAATTCACTCGCCAATGAATGGTGCATAAAATGTTGAAGGCGATCAACGAAACAGAAGTTGAACTGGAATTTTTGAATAAAAAATTTCGCTTCTGTTGAGAAATCGCGTAAATCTACAAGGAATTATATTCTGTATAGTTAGCTGTAAATTTTATCCAGAAGATTTTAATTTAATTTGATTCTTCCCGCAGTCCAAAAAACCTCATTTGACAAAAATCATTTATTTGCCCTAAATTATTCATGGGCAGGGTCATTTATGATGAATAAATCGTTGCGATTGACATGGGATTGGCCCATATTATGCGACTGGCCCAAACATACGATATTTTACTCTCTACTTTCATTTTTATGGCAGTAATCAGGATTACATGGCTATTGAAGTATGTATTTTATTTCAGAAATCGATTTTATGGATAGAAATAGAATGGACGGAAACATGTCGACCTCTCTAATTGTTACAAGGCGATTAATGGACATTTAAGTGCGATAGCCGGAAATACATACTAACGTGATGTGAAGGTTGTTAATTCCGTAACCGGTAAACTACGCAAAATATAAGTTTTGAACACAAAAGGTAAAAAGCAGTTCAGGTTGTGCTCCTAAGTTATTTTGCTCTCGGGGTTGTCTACACAAGAGGGTACAAGCGAGCTAAGAAATCCACCCTCTTTGAAATTAGTGACAGAGTTGATACATGTACACGCCTCAGAGTTGATACACGTACACGCCTCAGAGTTGATACATGTACACGCCTCAGAGTTGATACATGTACACGCCTCAGAGTTGATACAACAGGCTCTCGTAGCTGTCTGACTTGGGATTTGAATGTAGACCAAAAAGCTGACATAGAGAAGCTGATTTACTATGCTCCCGAGTCCTAGGCGTTCCCTAATTCAGAGCCGCCCTCAGCTCTAAATTTTGTTAGGGTTATGTCGCATGTGGCGCAGTGGCTATATAGACGCCCAATAGTGCCTATATATAGCCGCCAAATGTGGCTCATGGCTGCCGCCGTGGCTCCTATAGGTCAATGTTGAAAGACTCATTATTTAGTTGATAAACAATTAAAAATATTCTATTAATAGCTACATTCTAGAGCCACCTGCCCATGATGAACATTCAGAGAAATAAGTGGGTTAGATAGAGAAGGATTAAAGGCATTTCTAAACCAGGATGACCAAGAAATTGGTATATATTGTTAAAAAAACGTAAAAATTTTGTAGAAATCAATTACACAACAAAGTGGGTCATCTCAACCCAATTATTTATTGAGTGTATAGTTGTTGTAAACCGTACAGACATTAAGAGGTATTTAGGTGACCCAAACCGACACAGATCTGCCGAATTTTTTACACAAATTATAGCTCACATTTTTTTTGTTTCTTGGACAAATTATAAATTGACGCTTCCGTGATAAATCATTTTTAGAAGTATCATTTATGCTGAAAAAGTTTGCAAAATTGGTTTTTATTTATTATATGGGCTAATTCAAAAATACACCATGAGCATGATTGTTTCCATATATTTTTTTATGCACTGGTATCCAGACTGTTGTTCTCTGCATCAATTCATGTACTCATGCAGAGGCTTGTGTACACATCCCTACGTGCTCGTGGACACGCAGTGCGTACACGTGTCTCAGGCAGAACATCGAGTGGGCTGTTGCTGCTGTCGACGGCTACTAAATAAAAATTTTAATTTGCATACAGAATGTGAATGCTTCTCACCAATACATATCCAATATAAGAGTATAAATAAAATCTCATGACTGTATAATAATAAAAATTTTAATTTATATTTTAAAAATATTAAGCGATGCATCAGCGATTCAATATCACGATATTCTAGAAACCTCTGTTCAAAATATCTTACATAGCATAAATATTTACATAACAACCGATGCGAAAATTATAACTTTTAAGCCTCTTGCTGACAATTGATGTCACTGCAAGTTATCAACTATCATGCGTTTAGGCTCCTAATGATATATCCTAATTTCCTGGAGACCGCTTGCTTATCTCGCTGCTCGTGAGAACTGCGACATTTGTAAAGATTGCTACCTGCACATCAGATTCCCTATTTAAACAGTTCGTTTCATTAGGGTGATTTGCCAGCCAAAAATTGCACAAACTCTTAAAGCTCTTAATTAAGTGTTCGCTTGCCTATTTTGTTATAAGTTCATCATGACGACTCTGATATTTTGGGGTTGTTTACTTCTCTTCGCTGCAGCTACGCTAAGTGAAAGAGGTAACACAAGGCTCACCCCATGCATAATTATGAATTTTTTAGTTATCTTTATTTTAACACTATAAAAGTCGATTAAATTTTTTTTAGGTCGTCATTGACGGTTTTCTTCGTTAGAACTTTTATTATTATTATTATTACGCTAATAATTACGCTAATAATTATAATTACGCTAATAATTAGTATAATAGGTTTACGGTTCCCCCCTTCAAATCGAATTTGGAGATCATTTAGCGACGCGGATTTGAATAAACATTCTAAGCAAGTGTCTTCGGGAGAGAAATAATCTGGATTTTGGAATTATTTCGTTTAGGAAGAATTGAAGTTCATAAGTAACTTGACGATGGATAACTTTCTGTGTCGCTTTTGTGTCAGAATCAAATATAGACGCAATGGAGACTTTTGACTATTAATTGCTACTTCATACTGCTCGTCAGATGTTATACCCCTCCGTCTCACAGGAATTTTTAAGACGAGGTATGGTAGTCAGTGGTTTCGCCTGGGAATGTCCACCGAACAGTGAACGGTGTTACATAAATGATGATAATAATTGTCTATCATGTCAATGTGGCCTACTACTTTACAGGGGCTGTAGGGGCGGATGATTTCCGGTACGTGACAGGTTACGCCGGCCCCAACTACACCGGCGTCCACTACCAGTTCACCGACTACACGCCCGACCTCAGTGTCGTGCAGATGGACAACACAATCCAGAGCGCCTGTGGTGTTGGAATGTGAGCGAAATCAGAACATTTATCTACATTCACCTAAGCGATACACCTGCAGAGGTTGTTCATAAAAATATTCCAAATTGTTTTCGACGACAATTAGGTTCATTTTTTTTTTAATTTCGTGCACTTACAATCAGAATTGTCTGAAGCAGAATGCCTGTTAAATAAGTCTCTAAGAGGTTGCCCCCGCTCCGAGCATGCAATGGATAGAATCCGTAGCGCCCTGCGAACAATTATTGCTCCCACTCTAGTCTTGGACATATAGTGATGGCTTCCATGAATAACAAGTTCATTTGATCTTCTCCTTAATTTGAATGCACAATTTCTTAAGTTTTACATTGTGAGGCTTCATTTGAATTATCCGTACACTGCAAAAATGTCTATTTATGTAAAATCAAAGTACCTTGGTTGTTGTATGTTATCTTTAATCTTCCTACATTAACTCGCACGAGCAATCTGGATGACAGTGAGTAAGAAGGAAAGGTTATTGTTTAGTTAAATGACTCGCGGGAAGACCGAATGTCCCCCGGTGTCTGATATCTCTGTGAAACATGTGCTACTTCGCATTAAGCACCTCGACCCACGGTTATGTTCTAACGACCAAATTGCATAGATTTAAAAACAATTTACCTCGAGTGCTCACAGTGTGCTCTCTATCTTGAGTGCTCACAGTGTGCTCTCTATCTCGAGTGCTCACAGTGTACGCTATCTCGAGTGCTCTCAGTGTGCTTTCTATCTCGAATGCTCACCGTGTGCTCTGCTACATCGATCACACACAGTGTATTCCGTTCAATTGTTCTTTTTATCTTTGGCCCAAATATGTACAGTGTGTTCTTTCTGAATCGACGCGATCTTGGACGGAACCATATTTACGACGCGAACTACATCTGCTCCTATTGTATCACATTCAGTAAACGTCATTATGATTTTTGTTTTCATTTTTGTTTTCACTCATAGAGAATACGTATAATTTACAAATACAATAACTGATCCTCAGCTGGATGCTCTACGACACTGCGGACTACGACCTGGACCACGCTTGGTCGGTTGTTTGCCGATACATGGCAGCGAGCTGGTGTGCAAGTATGGGCACGGCTTGCAATGTGAGAAACACAGAGCGGAGCGAAGCTCGCTCAGATAAGTGCAATTTCTGCAACTAGTCTTCTTTGTTATACATTTGTTATACACACCTTTCTCAGTAATTAGTATTAGAGGCCGAATTAGCTTGTTTAAACATTGGTGCTTAATGAGCTGAGAATTAATTGATTTAAATTTTCAGAGTTCAACATTTTTTCACATGAATTTTGTTTAAGAAAGTCCAGATTTTAAGAAGTAATTTGTATTTTTAAACGACGTTTCGAATTTTAGAACATTCATTTCAAGTTAAAGAAAACATTGAATACTGAAATTTTGGTGGAAATTAGTACATGACACACGTAAACATGATACAGCACGAAAATTTGAAACCGTGAAAATAACTCCGAGACAATCTCAAAGCTTAGAAAATGTGGTAATTTTGAGATGAATAGCTGGAGTCCAATAATTAAGTAGAAATGAGAGCCTCAGCTACCGTCGGTAGGTTGATGTCGGGCCACTGCTTGGTCACGATGCTGTTGGGTTCCTCCATCACAGTGAGAGTGACGATGTCTAGGGTGTCACAGAGCCTGTTGAATTCATCGCGGATCTTGAGATGTAGTTGGTCGATTTGCAACACTTGACGTAACTCAACGAGACCGTCACTCGCACTGGGCTTGAGGAACCTACCAGCATCGTCTTCATGGATTGGCCCGACATCAGCCCTCATCTCTACGGATTGGACTCCAGCTGTCCATCTCACAACTACTGAACTTTCTGAGCTTGAGATTGTTTCGGAGTTATTTTCACGGTTCCAAATTTTCGTGTTGTATCGTTTTCAAGTGTATCATGAACTTTATTTCCACCAAAATTTCAGCCGTTTTTTCGAAGAAAAATATAAAAGCCGTATTTTTTCGAAGACGTCGTCCCTTAGGTACGCAGGAAGTCCATACGGCCTCAACGACAACTACTACAACCTGTACGAAGACACTATCTACAGAGGGAAGGAGTTCAGAGGCAACACAAACGCGTCCGACGTGGGTGACCTGGACATGGACGTCTCGTCTCTCGTCGTAACTGGACAATCGCCTTGGACGTTCTACACGTGAGCCATGCAATTTCACAAATAGCTTATTACTCTAAGTGACGTGTCGAAAGAAACACGTTCATGTACATCCAACCGTTAGTTCGAATTCATTAAACAACATCTGCCTTCAGTTTGTTCATAATTTGACCCAAAATTACTAATTGAGCTTCGTGATTCTGGTATCGAGTTCATTGCTCGACTCTTGCCAACAACAGCGGCCTCCACTACACTGGGGCGAACGTGTGCGTGTACCCATACCGTCACAGCACCAACAATGACATCCATCTTGACTTCGCATATTACGACAAAGTAAGATACCATGCTTTATCCACACAGCGACTAAAACCACTTTATGTGGTTAAGAATCCGCTGGGTTAAAAGCAAGCACATTATGTGAGATACCAGATTTGATATTTAGGACGTACAATAAATAAATCAATGTAAATCTTTAAGGATTCAGTGCTTGATATTTTTAGGCGTAAAATACCATGCTCGATGTTGACGGCGTACATTCGTTGACGTTCGTTGTTTGGGTTCTGTCAAATAATTGAGAAGGCTAACATTTGAAATTTAAATTACCGTACGTAGACCGACAATAAATGATAATATAGTGGAGTTAGCGTTGATCAGGCCATGGTGGTCTGATGCCGGTTCTCAATCGACCGGCCACCTTGCCGATTTTGACCGCAATTTTTGCTACTGGTTTCGGGTCTCGAACTGCTAAATCGCTGCTTCAATTTTTGTGATCTTCATCTATGTCACCTCGCCAATCTAATGCAGCAATGAAGAGTGAACGAGTTTTGAATGAAGAACGTCACTTTGTATAAGTGGTTGCGACAAACACTATACTCATAGATCAGTTTCTATTTATTTATTCAAAATGACGAGAATATGAGAATAATAATAGTGCATGCATCCAATATGGAACGTTTACACCTGCAGCGTATTTCCTACAGATGGACTACCTCGGTATGCCCGACAACTCCATCAGGTCTGTAGCGCGGGGCTGCCTCAGCGACCGCGTACTGGGCCATCCCGGCCATGAACGCCGCGGTCTCGACGATATAAACTGAATAATTAACATTCGCGCGCGATCTTCAGTGCATATACATGTTGGTTGTGCGCGTGTGAAGAACAGCGGTGCATGTGTGAAATACAGATGTGCGCGATGTTCCCTTCAAATAAGTAGGCTCTATGTGGGTGAAGAACAGATGTGTGGGATGTCCAGCACCCTATTTAGGCTGCATGTATTGTATTGGTAAGAAGACAAGAGAATGTGTTTGCTTGTAAACACTCGGCAAGAGGAGACGTTGATTTCAGGAGGCAGTACTAAATGACGCAGAAATATTGGTGTGAATTCAACATTAATCCGAGGACGGCAATTCGTTGACTGAGTGAGTGAGGGATACGTTGAAACACTTTTCTTTACTAAACTTATCATGTAACGCGAGAATTATTACACACATACGAGGTCATGATCGTTGCATGAAACACACTGCGAGATGGAAGCATTAGCGCAAGTACGTGTGTCTAAATGCCGTGCCCCTGCAACATTCTGTTTTGTTGGGTGAGTTGAATATTTACAAGTTGCATTTCTCTCTAAATTTGGGTTTAATAAACGATACTGTAAACTGCTTTAAGGCGTCACCTTCACAACATTACGCATGATCACGCCATACCAGCTGGTCAGTCCATCGCTCAGCAAGACCTGGTAATGTCCGCCTAAAGCAAAGTGTCGATGCTAACATGACGGGCATTAAACTGGAAATTGCATGGAAAAACGTAACCTCGTTGGACTTCATTTAGGAAAAAGTTAAACCACCATCTGAGAACCGAACGCACATGCTCCGAGGAGAAAAATATCGACTGCGAGCGGTCACTAAAGTAATTTCTGTATATATGTTTAATCCACCTCGGTTACGTGCAGAATATGTGGAACTTATAGTCATCAGCTTTCGAATCTTTGAATCATGAAGTTCGACTTTGAGCTTATTTTATGCTTTCTTAACACATTGAGAAAACCATTTGTGTTTTTTTTTTTAATTCTCATTCATTGCTTCGTCACCTTCGCGTAATTTGAAGAATTATCACATCAAAATTAAATGAAACGAAGTTTATTATGCATGTCGGCGACTTGATTAGTTACTCAGATCTGTAGTAATCTAGCCGCCTAACGATAGACCCAATTCCGTAAACGGTCCAAAGAAAGTTTATACTTGAGTTAACATGTACTTTATAAAGCCACCGTAAGTTTGCACATTCAGAATTTAATTGAAAGTACTCCAAACACAAATGAAATTACATATTAAATTTATTATTCTATAAAGTTCAAAGCGTCATGGTTCACTATTTCTGCTCCAAATAAACTTTATTGCGAGAAAATTTGAAAATTTTACCTCAACCCGAATCTCAGTAGAGTGAGCATTCCACAGCTTAGTTCAAGACTTAGTTAATTCAATAATTCTCGTCGTTTGAAAGCCTAGACATGAAGACTTGTAAGACAAGTCTTGACACTAATCGACGTGATATGAATATTCTCATTACTAATATCAGCAGAATAAGGCGAAAATCTAAGGCACAAAAGGTGGTAAACATCGTGATAACTATAAGCTTAGGCTAATTCAAAATCATATGTACTAAAGGCAACAATCAGTTTCTCAAGATATGTTACTAAATGCTAGTAATCTTGAGTGCTATACTGGCCTCAGAATGGCTTGAGCAAGAAACTGGCCTAGCTCTTGTTTAATATTATCACATTTAGACATGAAACTACACCCTGGTCAAACATTGATCACTCAAGTTATTTGACGGCTCTGAAATGCATTAAAAACTGAATTACATTTTGTTAATTAATCGATACTTGCGTGAGAACAAAGTTTGCCAGACGTTATGAAAAAAAGGCGAAACAATCAATCAAAAAAATTGTCGTCACTCTTAAATCCTGACATCATCACGTCCACTGAATAATTATTTCACTAAAATTCAATCATTCTAGCTATTCAGACTAGATTTATTCACCTAATACTATTGATTTGTAATTTACTACACATTATTCACGTTATTGCCCCGAGACCACTTGAATGATTTAATCAAGGAAAGTCAAACTTTTTTTAAAGGGAACATGTCAGTCAATCATATCAAACATGATATAGATGAAATACATAGGCAGCAAACAAAGAGAAACATGTCTGTAGCCGCCATTTTCCCTTTTTCTGAAACTTTGTAGCTATAGAATTAGCCTACTCGACGCAGTTGATTTCACTAGCGTCATTAGCTTTCATTATGTTGATAATGCCCTTGATAAACGGATGCCTGCACTACCAGGGGAACCAAGCTATTCGGTTCGTTCGATTTATCGTTTGTTTTCGTGAATTATTGATTATCCTGTTTAATTATTGCTTTATCTTGGTGTAAGAATTTTACGGAACATACTTCTCCCGTGTCCATAAGGTTGGGACCTTTTAGGTAGAACCAGAGTTGATGAGCTCGGGCAAAATTCAGTTTTAACCACACTTGACCTAGATTGTTCAGCAATTTGGTACGTGAGCATATACTTGTGTTATGATCATTTTATTGTTTGTTAACCTCGATTATTTTCTCTATATTGTTTATAATTTCGTATAACCTCAACTTTGTGTTCAAATTGTTCATTCTTTGTTTTCAGAAACCGTTACAATCCACAACGAGTTTTCATTCTGAACAATCCCCTGAACGAAGAGCCATATTCTTTACACTTGGTTTAATTCATGTTCATATTTCATGTAATTAGCGTACATTTTGTCTTGTATATATTTCTTATGTATATTTGTCATTTCCTTTCTAGAAACCGTACATCATGGAATACTCGTTTTTTATCCTGCTATGATGGCGCGTCTATGAATAGTTCGGTAAACGTTCCCAAAGGACTAGCCAACAAGAAAGTCCTTTACAATGTCAGTCAGGCATGTCGAAAATTACATGAATGAGATAAAGGAGCAATATCGGTCGGAATCAGGCACTCAGACTAACTCAATTTTCCACACTTAACTTCTAGCAGGCTCATAACGAGATTTAGATTCATATACATATGTGAATGGTGTTCACGGTCACCCACAAGCTTTCTAATTTCACAAGAAAACAAGGCTAGCTAATCCCAATAAAATGTTCTGCACTCATGCTATACATTAACCATAAAGGTTTCAAGTATAATTTTAAAGTTATATGAAAATAAGTGCATTTTTATAATGATATATGGGAGCAAAAATAGCTCGAGTGTTTCCAGCGAGAGAACGCGTACAATTTTTAAATCGGAGCGTTGGTGTTGTTTCCAACTTTCCGGGAAATCCTTTTCCCTCCGGGAAAAGTTAACGAGAAATTTTCTTTTTTTTCGTAACATTTCGCGTTAATATTTTCTATAAACGCGACAATGCAGACGGCTTTGAAGTAATTCAATGCTTTGCTCTACAGTTTTAAATTTTAGAACCTTCAAATCTGTTATCTCAGCAAAAATATTACACCGCAGCAAGTCGACTTCCCTGGAGAGCGCTATACTAATAAGTTAAAATGGACGAACATAAACTTACTCTTTGTATCTATGCAAGAAGCAATATCGGTGAGTTTACTCACCGGTGACTCACTTTTACTATTTTAACACGTAAACTTAGCTAAAACACATATTATTTTGGCTCATAATTTAAAGAAAATAATTAAATTTTCAGGCAAATTGACTGTGTACTTTACATTTTGATATTATTATTATTTTCAACACGAAAATTTGGTTAAAACGCACATAATTTTAGCTCAAAATATAGAGAAAATAATGCACTTTTTAAGTAAATTGACTATGTATATTTTATTTTGATTTTAATATTTTGATTTCAATACACACTGCTGAGAAATTTTTACTACGGAGAAGGTTATGAAATTAAAGTACGATTAAGTATAACAAAAGCACATACGCACTACACGTGCTAAACTATGAAAATTACAATTATTTTTTTCCATCGTATTACGAGACAAAGTGCGATGAACCCGCAGGGCCTCATTCATATTAACTGTCACTTTTGTGGTAGTTTCCCATGTGAAAGGCCATTGGGTGTCTAGCTGTTGTTTTTTTAAACCTTTACACTAAAATTTATGAGAGGTGATTGATTTTATTGATGTCTACAACGTGGTAAAGATAGTTATTCTTAGTAGACATCGCGGAGGGTGAGTCAAAATTCACCATATCTGAAGCGTGGTAAAGATATTTACTCTCGGTGGGCACCGCGGGGCGAGTCAGAACTCAGCATTTCTCAAGCGAGGTAAAGATATTTACTCTCTGGACATCGCGAGCGTTGAATCAAAATTCACCATATCTAAAGCGTGCTAAGGATATTCACTCTCAGTGGACATCGCGTGTGAGTCACAACTCACCGAACCAACGCCCCCCTCTCACAGCCACGCTCCGTCGCTGCATGGAGGTCATCTCCCCCTGCGCGCTCCTCCCTCCTCCCCTCAAGGCGAGTATCTTCGTGCAAAGGTCGTTGAGAACGCACGTGTCACCTGCGCGTAAATTGTAAAGAAAGAAAAAGTATATATATGCATGAATATAAGGACCGATTCCAGAGGTCTTAAGGCAAAAGATATTTTAGTTTAAAACTACAGTGAACATTTAATTTTTTTTCCAGACTAGAATGGTAGTAGAAGAAACGAATTCAAATTAGCTGAAATTTGCTTAAAATTTAAGTTAAAATTGAATTGCTATGGCGATATTGAGCGAAGCGATTCATGACTTGGAGCGTTAAATCATCGTAGTCTAAAAGGTGCAGCACTGAAACTCTTTGCCACTTCATTCATATTTATAACTCATATCACTTCCTTGTAGTCGCACTCGACATATTCAGATAACTATGAGCTGCCATAACTGACTAACTTCTCTCAAGAGGGAACTATTAAAGTGTATTGAAGTCTATTGATTCAACGCGACGATCAGTACGAGGCGGTATCGGCTAATGGGGAGATTTTGGCGGAACAGAGAACAGACCTCCCGTTTAAAATGCTGCGTTTGACTACCCATAGAGATACCCTTCTAGGATACCGAAACAGATTACACCTCTAGAATACGCTTATGATAGACACCTCCAGGAAGTCCCTCCAGGACACCCTCAGATTGAGGGATTTACAAGAAAATTGATACACCCCTAAACACCATTGAAGAATACAACTGTAGCCCCAGAACACCATTGAAGAAAACAACTGTAGGACCCTCTATAGAATACCCCTCTGTAATACTCCATCAAAATACTGTCAACTGCGCATAATATCAATTTGTTAAAGGCCTTCAGAATAAAATGGGGCAGGTAGAATATAAAGAATGGTTTTTTCAACTATAATAGTTTTTACTTGCGTTCGGCTGATTCTCAAGGAACTTAACGCTCTTGTATAGCCAATTAAACTTTTTTAGAATAAAATTTTCGCTAATAAACGATTAATTGGAAGACTATGTACAACATACCAATTTGAAAGCGACGTAGACGTATTAAATGTAAGCAAACTCGGGCGCCTAGAAGCCTCGCAGTCCAGAGCCCAGCGCCTGACCTGGTTCTCCGTTAGACTTGACATGGGAGAATATCATATATTCGTACATTGGAATTACTTATAAATCAATACCTAACGATCTAACTCCCGCTTTATTGCAGGGCACCGAACAAGGTTTTCAAGTTTATTTTGTTAACGACTCATTTCATGCATAACATAATATGCAGACACGCGAGGTCTTTGCGAGAAGGCCAGTTAACCGTTAAATTTTCGGTAGCTATTTAAAGAGCATTTCGGCCACCTTTCGCGATCGCACGAATAGTTTATACGTTCTCAAGAATACAGAAGGTATTAATTGCGGTTAAGAAAGTAAGGCATGTAACTAGGGCCCTTATACTGTGTGACCAGAGCTCGTGTGGGGTGGTCGTGTTTCTTGTTCGAAAGCGCTGTCAACTTTCATCGCCGTATAACCATGTAAGAATTGCATTACAGATTATAAGTAAAATAACATATATAGTAATGAGTATTGTGTATTTATTTTCGATGTTCATATATATATTTATATACATCGAAATTAATATCTTCTAAGTTCTGAAATGTATGTGAATTCGGCAAATTCACTCGCCAATGAGTGGTGCATAAAATGTTGAAGGCGATCAACAAAACAGAAACGATAATTATTTTAATCTGTGGTCGAGACACAAAACCGCGCTTTCTTAGACTTCTTTACTTAATCATTATGAAATGAAAACTCTGCGAGAAATAAGGGAAGGAATGTTAAGCGAATTCTTCTATACTGTACAAATAAGACGCTCATAGAAATATGTGAGACGTTGTCCAAATAGCGATGCACTTTTGCCCTTGTGTCATAGTGGTTCCCAGTTTGCTTGTGAATCACTATGACCTGCTGAAATCGTGGAATTGTCGATTCTATGGAATCGGCAGCCAGTTTGCCGATTCTGTAGAATCAGCATTTGTACGAGTATACTATAGGAATCTCGTGTTTGGTCAGTCAGCCAAGTTATTTTTATTTTAAATATTTAAATATAAAGGAACTTAACCGAACTCGACCTGACCTTTTCTAACTATAACTGTCGATTTATATACTAACTCTAACTCTAACATCGATTTTCTGAATCAGCAACGAAATACTGATTCTACAGAATCGGCAAACTGGCTGCCGATTACATAGAATCAGCAATTCCGCGATTTCGGCACGACAACTATTTAGACAATATAAACAGTTCATTTATATGTCTGCAATACTGGATATACTGGAGAAACTGCTCGAAATCGAGCAGTTTCTCACTAGCCTGCAGCGCTAGTGACAGTGTGTAGTAATATCTTATTAGCATTGGCGTCCATTTATAATTAAAAAAATATAAATAATGATATTTTTTGACGGTCCAGAAATCGATTAATGCGTTTGTGTATCAAACCAGAAGTACAACCACCGGTAAAACGCCATCCGCCACAGCGATGAGGGCTGCGTTTGGAACACTCTTGGCCACGACGTGTCTGGTCGCCATAAACTTTGGTGGCGCTCGAGGCGCCATGCTGGGCTCGGTACTTGCCTACAAAGTGGAACTGCAAGCCTCGGACCTTGCAGGGTACGTGGTCAACACCACGTACCCCAACATGACGCTCGTCAGGTGCGCTGCCGTGGCCTCCCGTCAGGATAATTCTACGTTTTGTCTGACGGCCTCGCGAGACTGCATCGTAACAAACGCCTCCATCCCGCCCTACTACAACAACAGTGACGGCAACGGCTACCACAGCTGCTACACTACCTCCAAGCCGCTCTTCGATAAAGGTGGGTGATCAAAACTCTACTACACCTCACTGCAACAACAGCGACGGCAACGGCTACCACCACTGCTACTCTACCTCCAATTAAGCCGCTCTCAGATAAATTAAGGTGGGTGATCAAAACTCTACTACACCTCACTCCATCAGCGACGGCAACGGCTTCTACAGCTGCTACACTTTCTCCAAGCCGCTCTTCGGTCTCTTATACACATCTAGATGTGTATAAGAGACAGGTATTGCACGACACTTCTGAACCTTCGGGACCGGTTCTGCATGTGGAGCTGCTGGTCTGTAATAAGCTTTACTTGTTTGGGAACTTGTTGAGCTCTCAAGGAACTGGTCTCTAGTGGCCAGAATAGCGCCCATTCAAGGATAAAGCTCAAAGTGGTTGATTTTTTTTCATAGACAACTTGCAATCGTTGCTAAATGCTGCAGCTGCAGCAGCAGTAAAAAATTTTTTTGATGATAAGCTTGCTACTTCATTGCTGTACCGAGCTTCTATATTCGCCGAACTTGTTCTCAGTCAGATGCAATTTTAATCAGATGCAATTTTAACCAAGTATCTATCCTGTCTTGTACATTTTTGAACCTATGCTCATTTATATTTCCATGCTCTATTATTAGAATTCTATGATTCACTTCGCTATTCCACTATTGACTANAGCCCACCAACTACCCTGCCCTCGTATCCTACCTCCAGTCCAAGGGTGAGTTCATACCCTCGTCAGCCCACCAACTACCCCGCCCTCGTATCGTACCTCCAGTCCAAGGGTGAGTTCATACCCTCGTCAGCCCACCAACTACCCCGCCCTCAATTTTTCCAATTGAGGGCACAATTTTTTTACAATTTCCAATTTTCCAAATAAAATTTTCAATTCATGATGTCTCTCCTGATAATATTATTTCACCTCTATATTAATAATTATCATAGAATATATCAGATTCGTTGTCTTTCCATTCCTGCTTAATTACGTGACGTCTCTATGGGCTACAACAAACTCACGTTACCTGCCATGAACAAGATTGACGGTGTTGCCAGCACTTAATGTTACTGAGCGCCAAAGGCAAAATCACGAGGCTGGTCAAACAATATCATTTTAATAGCAATAATATTTTATTTCTTAAATATTATAAAAATTAAAGTTGGTTAAATTAATTTTTATCCTGAATAGACCCATGCTATCGTTTTTATAATATATTCTTATCAATATCATGATATTTATAAGTGAGCCAATGAAAATTACCGCTGTCCCGAGTAAATTTTTTTGCATGACAACAACAGCGACGGCAACGGCTACCACCACTGCTACTCTACCTCCAATTAAGCCGCTCTCAGATAAATTAAGGTGGGTGATCAAAACTCTACTATACCTCACTACAACAGCGACGGCAACGGCTTCCACCGCTGCTACACTACCTCCAAGCCGCTCTTCGATAAAGGTAGGTGATCAAAACTCTACCACACCCCACTACAACAACAGCGACGGCAACGGCTTCTACTGACTGCTGCTACACTACCTCCAAGCCGCTCTTCGATAAAGGTGGGTGAACAAACTCTACTACACCCCACTACAACAACAGCGACGGCAACGGCTTCCACCGCTGCTACACTACCTCCAAGCCGCTCTTCGATAAAGGTGGGTGATCAGAACATCTTTATTACAACTAAAAACGCCCTTTATCAAACCTATTGGACCATTGGCTTCCATTACAGCCCCAAAAAGCATCCTGACAAATGTAACGAACATCTTATCGTCAGCCGGAGCACCGTATAATAAAATACACGACACATTTTTTTTTATTTCATACATATCGGTGCTCCTATATAGTCCTGTCGCAACAGCACCGTTTTCAAATTTTGAATGTTGCAATTCTGCATCATTAAATGGAAGAACGGACTTCCCGTACAAGTATCTAGTCTGATTTAACGGGCGTAAGGTTGAACTCTTTGAAGCATCGTTACTCACAAGAAAAGATGGTGATTGAATATTTGGTTGACAAACACGGCGAGGGATAATTACTCATGTGGACCAACACTTCACCGAGATGCCCTTCAATAACTCTTCTAGCTAATTACAGTGAGGATGAATGACTGTCATGAAGCTAATTCAAAGGCAAATAAGCGATTGGTACAATTATTTTATAGTTACAATTATTGGTATGTTAAAACGATTCAATAGTTTTAATTATTATTCGATTGTTACAATTATTTGATTATTACAATTATTCGATTGTTACAATTATTCGAGAGAAGACTTAAGCCTCAACAGACGAGGTGAACGTCCGACAAGTAATGAGGTGATGCAGAAGAATTCATTACTTTGTTACTTTGTATATGGGTCACAAAAATACGTGTTCGTTATCTTCATGAATGCTCCTTATCTCGTGGTAGGAATGAATTAATTTCTTCTTGAAGCATATAAGTAGTGTTTTAAATATCATTTAATTTTTTTTATATATCACACCACCTTAGCTGCCGCGCTGCTGGACTGCGCCATGAACGGCAACTGTTGTCCCCAACCCTTCCTCAACGTGACGAACGTGGGCTGCGTGTACAGCCCCAGCTTCTGGTGGTTCCCCGTCCTGTCCCACAGCTTCGCCCGTAAAATGTGCCAGAGCATGTGGCCCACTGGGGACCTCTACATCAAGCCCACCAACTACCCCGCCCTCGTATCCTACCTACAGTCCAAGGGTGAGCTCTTACTGTCAGCCCGCTAAAAGCTTGAACTTAATTTTCTTTAGCTGATCTTCAATTCAAAATGTTTTTCCCTTTAGCCTCCATTTTGCCCCTGATTAAAAGCATTATCATCTAATATAACAACGTGGTTATCGCTTCTGAACTGCCTATTTTTGTTAACGTCTTCGTGGCTGCACTAAACACACTTTACCTGCCTTGAACAGGACTAGAGGCGTCGCCAGCATTTAATGTTGTTGCTAAGCGCTGAAGATAATTGCATGTTAAATTAATATCATTTTCAATGTATTAATATTCTCAAAGTTTCATTAATGTTCAAATTAAGGTTGGTAAAAAATAATTTTTACTCTGAATACACCCATGCAATTTATTTTTTGTGAGTTTATGAAAATTTGCACCATCCCCAGTAAGTTTTCTTGCTTATTTAAGGCGTTCATCATCCAAGCTTATGCATCGTTTCAGGCCAGAAGAACGTTAGGGTGGGCGCAACCCGCGTGGGAGACTCTGACCAATTCCAGTGGAGCGACGGCACCCCTGTGGCAGCGTCCGAGTTCGGAGTCTGGGGTGGAATCGTCCGGCAACCCGACGGCAATGGTTCGCCGGGGGGCCTTGGCAGGGCTGACTGTGCGGTCGTGATGACGGACCAACCAGTGAATGGACTCGACGACGGCTACTGCTTCANCTGCTTAATGGAGCCATTCCTGCCTGCCTATTGCATTTGCATCCAAAAACTTGATCAAAAGCCTGCCCTTATTCGTGTGGCAAAAAATGACTTCTAGCTCCGTGTATACGGTTTGGACCATTCTACGTTGCCTTTGTCCGTTAATGTATCAAAGCGAATAATTAATAATAATTTTAATATTTTAATGTTGTGATGACTTTTAAAACTTTTCTGTATTATACTTTTTTCTTAATGTTATTGTTAAATTATATTCTATTGACTAACTGTACATCGAAGCCCGCTGTATAGTTATTATTACAATGCGTATGGTTATTATACAATATAAGGTCACGGTCTGATCTTGTATTACCTCGTCTAAAACAATTTGCCGCCGCTTCTCTGCATGAGGACTGCTATGCCCACAAGATAAGAGAGATAACGAAGTACAGTAATTAAGCGACGGCAGCGAACGCTCTATTTCAATGCCACAATAAATTTAGACTATCCAGCGTTAGCATTCAAACGGCTACCTCATAATGCCAGGAAAGGACAATGGAAAGGAAAATAGCATTCATTCATGTTTCTTTTCTTTATGTTTTGTAAAACTGCTGGACAAAATTCCGCACATCAAAATAAGAAATGGAAAGTACAAATTTGGGAACTTGACGAAGCATAAATGTACACGGGTTTTTAATAAACAAATATCTAAGCATGATATGACTTCCGGCTAAAATAAATGTGAATGTGGCAACATATAAAAATTCCTAGAAACTTTAGTGGATTTGTTTTGCCGTAGTTTTTGAATTCTAATATTGTCAATGGGAATTTAAGCCTACTTTACTACGTCAAAAAAAATTAACGACTTTACTTAAAATGGGAGAACTGTTAATCGGCTACTATAATATAAACAAGAAATATAGTAGACAATTATAGTAAATTGGCCTGAGGAGTAGTTCAGCGGAAGCTCAAGTCCTGGGAACAGCAAAACGGTAATAGATGGCAGACGACTGCGACCCCGAATACAGCTGAGAATACATCAACTGCTCTGTAAGTTTCGGCATGCAGCAGCACGGTATTCTCACCTCAGCGACATTGGTTAACCGCAGCCCCACAACCCCCCAACTCGTGCCCCCAACACGACCTACAATCATTGCATTAACCGCTAAGGCCTCAATGTGAAATTTCAGCTTCCTGGAAAATTGTGGCATTACGCCGAGCAAAAGTTTGCACGTTTTATCATGAACCTAAAATAATATTGGCCACATTGTACTCGTCCGTGCGGGAAATTATGAAAGTTTTCTCTCTGATGGCTATAACGACTGATACTTTGGTGTGCAGCTAAGCTATATTGATTTACAGTTGCCAAAAGACAAAAGTATGAACATGTGATCGCTGACTTTCGCCATTACAGCTCCAGAAATGATGGCTCCAACTCATACAATTTGACTCCGGTGCTGTGCGATCGTCACGAAACTTTTAACATTATCGTCCGCGAACTTCGTTCTCGATCATGTTCGAAAAAGCCTTAGCGTTGCAGAGGGGAAGTTTATTCTCAACTAGAGCCTTATGTTAGGTCCTCAGTTCAGCTTTGGGCGTCTCCCGACGTAGATCAGGTACGTTGTCTGCGATTGATAGATATATTTATTTCAAACATTTATAACGTAGTCGATAATAATTTTATATAATCTTTTGGTATTATTATGCGACCGCATGATAAACCGCATTTATTTACTGTTGCGAATACATTTCTAATGGGCAAGTTAATTCTTGGTGATTTATGCTGGTATTTCTTGAAATAATTAATTTCAAACATATTTTATCAATTAGGAAAAATGTATTCATAAATTAAGTTTGATTAATTTGTGGAAGTTAAATGAAAAACATTTAGAAGGCTGATTCGATAGGAAATCTATGCGCTGGGCCTGGACTTAATTGATGCGGGTAAACATGCGTTGGTTTCCACTGGAAGCATTGACATTGTAGACGGGATTGATTCCTTTCCGCCGAGGACATCGAACTGTATGCGGGCTTCACTTCCGTTGAGGACATCGACATTGTAGGCGGGACTCATTTTCACTGAGGACATAGAAATGTAGGCGGGCCTCATTTCCACGGAGGACATCGAAATGTAGGCGGGCCTCATTTCCACTGATGACATCGACATTGTAGGCGGGCCTCATTTCCACGGAGAACATCGAAATGTAGGCGGGCCTCGTTTCCACTGAGGACACTGACATGTTTGTTCGCTCACAAACTGACACAAACTCACAACGAGAACAGCGCTGAGAAAAATATATAAATATTTAGCTAAGCTACAAATCGACATCGGCCAGCAGCAAGCATGTCTGGACAACGAACAATGTTGGTGCCATGATCGACAATTACGACCTCGTCAGCATGGCAGTTTTTTAGATGAGACTCACGTTTAGCAAGCAAGACAGGTGCGCGAGCAATTTTTTATTCAGATATCTTGATATTTGGTCTTATCTCGGGTCTCAACCTAACGTACAAGTTTACCTCTGAACAGCGTAACCAAGAGCAGCTGAACTACGGGTGACCTAAACATAGACTTCGCGTCCATCAAAAGTGCGTCCGATCACGAAGCAACGTTCACCATATAAGTGCCTCCGATCAAAGGCTACGTCCATCGTAAGTGCGTTCGATCAAATGACATGGCATCGTAAGTGCGTCCCCTTTAAGCCCTGGTGTGACGAATTCGTCACACAGAAAATAAAAGCTTCTACCGAGAATAATTACATGTTTGGAGTCTAGCCGCGAGTGTGACGGTATAAGCGTCACATGTTGTGAACTCGTTCGAACGACGTTCGATGGAGTAGGCGCGCCGGTACTGCCAGTACAACACAAAGACTGCGCGTTATCTGAAAAGTAATTCAGATTGTTTTTTCACTTTCGAAACATAATTCATTGCGTAAAGGGATAATTATTAATATTTCCTGATCTATCCACCACTCAACTTATGTCAGTGAAGGAATTTATTTGTTTTATCTTCAGTTGACTTAAACTCAATAAATGAACCAAATGACTCGCAAATTGCTTAAGTTATTTGTCAATTGATGGCTTGAATGGGCCGTAATTTGATTACCATCACTTCTGAGTAAAATTAAAGAGACGAGCGAAAACGATTCCATGAATTATAGACCTGCGAGATGCACATTATCTTCAATACAGAGTGCGGCAAATAAATGCTACAATTATATTCTCTATATTGCATTACCCAAGAAGTTAATTGAACTGCCATGCTGTGTATGCACTAATAAAATGCATATATTCATAATTGGAGGTCCGTGGCAGTGATCTCCGTGAAATTTGATTGATTTTCAATCGATTTCTGGGAGGACGATTGTAGTAATTTTGTCGAAGTTTCCAGCCCAGGCTGATCTTCGCCGAGCGCATTACGACTTCTGTACCTTATGATGTATTTATATATTGCGTGACTAGGGAACTGAAGGTAGAATATATCGCAGCTAATTGTCTAGCTTAATTAGAAGAATGGTGGTACAGGTGGACATAAGGACTATAATTAAACTACATAATATATTAAAAGACACAGCACCTTTCTCTCCTACGTCAATACCACGTCAATCAAAATACTGACTTGTGATGTCATGTTACCCTAAACTATTGTTAAATAATACCTGCTAATATATACAATACATGACATGTCCCATGCACTGTCACTCACTCTACCCTAGCCTGCACGAGGTTGTAGGAGTAGGGAGCGACTCGCTCAAATGGTGGGTATATAACTCAAGTAGATGAGTATCTTACTCAAGTAGATGAGTGTTTTACTCAAGTAGATGAGTATCTTACTCAAGTAGATGAGTGTTTTACTCGAGTAGATGAGTATCTTACTCAAGTAGATGAGTATCTTGCTCAATAGATGAGTATCTTACTCAAGTAGATGAGTATCTTGCTCAAGTAGATGAGTATCTTGCTCAATAGATGAGTATCTTACTCAAGTATATGTGTATCTTACTCAAGTAGATGAGTATCTTGATCAAGTAGATGAGTATCTTGCTCAATAGATGAGTATCTTACTCAAGTAGATGAGTATCTTAATCGCCTAGATGAGTATCTCAATCATCTAGATGAGTATCTAAGTAAATGGGTGAGCTAGGACGGTCATGGCATGAACTGAGCATTGGCTAGTGCAACTAATGACAGACTAGTGCAACTGATGACATAGGCTAGTGCAACTGATGACATAGGCTAGTGCAACTGATGACATAGGCTAGTTCAACTAATAACATAGGCTAGTTCAACTAATAACATAGGCTAGCGAAACTAATGACATAGGCACTCTACTACTACTCTACTTTCCTTTTTCTGGTAATAATCACAATTCCGTGGCTGTTGAAGAACTTAATTGCAGAAATAGAATTTCCGGATAAAAATTAAGTATAGAGAAACATATCGACTCCTCTAATTGTTACAAATTAATTATAGGACGTTTACCTTATTACCGAAAACAATCTGTATCAAAACAGAGCCACAACGACCCGCTAAGACGGCAGTCGCAACGACGATGAGGGCTGCGTTTGGTACGATTCTGGCCACGACGTGTCTGGTCGCCGTAAACTTTGGTGGCGCTCGAGGCGTCATGCTGGGCTCTGTACTTGTATACAAAGTGGAACTGCAGGCCTCAGACCTTGCAGGAAACGTGGTAAACACCACGTACCCCAACATGACGCTCGTTAGGTGCGCCGCCATGGCCTCAAGCCAGAAAAATTCTACGTTTTGTTTGACGGCCTCGCTAGACTGCATCGTAACCAACGCCTCCATCCCGCCCTACTACAACAACAGCGACGGCAACGGCTTCCACCGCTGCTACACTTCCTCCAAGCCACTCTTCGATAAAGGTGGGTGATCAAAACTCTACTACACCTCACTACAACAACAGCGACGGCAACGGCTTCCACCGCTGTTACACTTCCTCCAAGCCACTCTTCGATAAAGGTGGGTGATCAAAACTCTACTACACCTCACTACAATAACAGCGACGGCAACGGCTTCCATCGCTGTTACACTTCCTCCAAGCCACTCTTCGATAAAGATGGGTAATCAAAACTCTACTACACCTCACTACAACAACAGCGA